AATCATAAGGAACTTTTGCTATAAAAATCATCAGTTCGTTATAAAGTTGATTTTATATAAGATCCCGTAATTCTAGTTCTTTTTAATATTTAGTCTTTAGGCGCCACACCAATTTTATCCCATTTTAGACACTCCCGATCAGTTTCATTCAATTCTCTGATCGTGCCATCCGTACCAACTCTCATTGCAATAAATGAGAGTGAAACAGAAATAGAAGGGGATACTGCATCTTCCTTAATAAGATCAATCGTAGAAATATTATCGACTTCAATAGAAGTAACACGTTTTATAAAATCACTACAACGTTCAACTGCTATTTTCGAAAGTTTAGAAAAAGTAAACAACTGTATAATTTGATCATTCATAAATGAAAAATTAATAATAAATTTTCAAAAGTATAAATAACGAAGAAAATTTTAAAATATACTTACATGCCAAACATGAGGCATATCATCATAAACTTCGAGTATAACTTTAGTAGGTTTTTTAAAAGGTGACTTTTCAAAATTTTTGGTTGCATATGAAGGCAATTGATATTCATGAGGACTCGCAGCTTTATGACAAATTAGAACAGCTTCGTCACGAAGTCTTTCATCACCTCCAACTTGCTATAATTCATTTTGCATAATTAATAATATTATTAAAATTATAAGCTAATAAAGTAATATTGAAAAGAAGTAACTTACACATAAAATAGGTGGTAAATTCCCTAATGACTCAGCAAGCATAGGACTAGAAATCAAAATATTATGAATATTAAGATCAAATTACTTAGAATTATTATTAAATTTAAGTGAGATAAGAGTACTTACCTAACATAAGGAATTGCCAATGCTTCATTATCACAATAAAGCTGAAGACGAGGTACCTCATTAAAAGAAGGATGATTAACAATCTTGGGGTTTTTCAGAGCGATTTTATCAGCTAGAGTTTTTGCATTGACCAAAAATTCATCCATAACAGGCGACGAAGGAAATTCTGTACGAAAATCTAGTTTTGAAGGTATATAATCTACTTTATCTATTTCGGAATCTCTTGTGGATGTATACTAATGAGAAACCTAGTGAAACTGACCATGTGGTTTTATATTTGCATGGTGGTGGATTTTGTTTCGGATCATCCAAATCTTCTAGTCCTATTACAAAAAAATTTGTCGAGCTTGCTAATTCACGAATTTTTGGTAAGTTTTGCGGATTAATTACCTTAACAATAATATCTTACGATAATTTCTTATGACAATTGTTTATAA